TTTTTTTTTTTTTTTTTTTTTTTTTTTTTTTTTTTTTTTTTTTTTTTTTTTTTTTTTTTTTTTTTTTGAGGGATTGAATCGCAGAGAAACTTGCGAAATTCGAAGACTCATTATTTGGTTGTGATTTGTATATTTCTTCATGTTTATGTAAATAATGAATTCTTTTTCCTTTTTTTTTTTTTTTCCGTTTCCTCTTTTATCATATTTCATATGAATCTCTTCTATGATGTATGCATTTCAGTAAAATATAACTCTAATACATAATTAATAATTGAATTACTTTAAAACAACCTTTCTGGTTATCTAATTTAGAATCTTATAGAACTGCCTTCTGGAGGATGTGTAATAGCTAAATCCTCAATCTGAAGTGTATTAATTTAATCTCAAGCCTTGAAGTGAAGTTATTTTTACATTACTATGATTATATGATACTCTCCGCCCTCTATTAAGCTGCTTGCATCTGTTCTTTGGCCACGGAACTGGCGGGTGACGACGCGGTGTCGTCTTCTCCGATTGGAAGGTCATCTGAATGCAGTTCAGGTTGATGGACACTACGGACGAATTCAGCAAAAGAAGGAAAGTGCTCTGGAGAGAAGAAGTATGCTCCCATTCTCTGGTATGTGAACAGCTCCACACTCTCCCCTTCCAAATTGTTCTTTATCTGATCGAACCCCCCGGGAGTTCCCGAACTCGATGAGTTTTGCCCCGACAACATTACCCCGTGCTTTCTGCTAGCTGACTTGATTTGAGCTATTAATGACTCGGGGCTCGACAGTGATTCTTGAGGCTGTTGTTGATCTGATAAGTCCATTCCAGGCAAGATCATTTTGGTTGAGTTCCTAGCGAACATTTCGGCAACAGCCTCATATCCGTCTCGGCTGGCGGTATTGTAGAACCCAGCTGTTAGTTCGCTGGGGTGCGATCGAGTTTTGTACCAGGAATGCTTCAATGGAACTGTCCCATGAACGGTTGCTTCGGTGTTGCCGAAGATGGATGAAGCAAGAGAAAGAAGGCGATCGCCATGGTCAATAAGCTCGCTAGAATACCATGAAAGGAAGAAATCTCCATAGTGAGACTCCCATGAACCGCCATGATCTTTAAAGAAATTGTTAGCATTCGGCATTTCATTATAACTCGGAGCATCATGGGGACCTCCAAGACCGTATAAAGGATTCCCGCTTGCTTCAGCGTGTTGCTTAAGATTGCTAAGCATGTTTTTATCATAGCACTGAAATTCTCCAACACCATGTGATTTTGGTTGTCGCTGAGACGGATACCGAAGCTCACCGTCTGGTCCAAGACTCATGGAGATACCCTGAAATTGATCAAAAGGCAACAATAAGTAATAGAAACCCAAACAAAGCCATAAAATGAAGGCTAAATGCAAAAGGCCTCATAATAAATGGAAATGTATTCCTTAGTTCTTACCGAGATTGTAGAGCCCATGAGATTTGAGAATGAAGACTTGAAGCTCTCACAAAATTCATGGTAAACTTGGATTGGAGTTTTTCCATTCAGGACAGGAAGCTTATCGACAGAGAGCGATAAGCAATCTTTGTATTGCTGCCTGTACCGATCGGTGAAGTATACGTTCGGATCGGATTCACCGATCTTCGAGATCCATTCAGGAAGAGGAATTCTTGGTTGGTTAGATCCATGGAAGCAGAGTGAAACATGAAGCTTGAGCCCTGAATTTTGGACCATCTCTGCGAGGGTAAGATAGCCTGACCATTCATATTTCCCCATAGTTTCTTTCTCAACGATTCCCCACCACACCGGAAGCTCGACACCTTCTACGCCAAGCAACTTCAGAGCCTTGAGCCCTGCTGCGATTGCCTTCGAATGGTTTATCGCATTGCACGTAGAAACTGCATCCAACGGCAAACCGACATACAATTTTACACCCTCGAGCTGCAAAAACGTATGAAAAAGACTGTCAATAATGAACTTAAGCAAGCAAAATTAACATGTTTTTCGCTTTAAAGTCACCCAAAAATCTTTATATCAATGGATCTTCCCAACTTTTAGCCAACGCACATTAACTACTGAGATGCATCGCAATATCATAGCAGGAAGTACTAAGTTCAAACTCTCCATTCATACTGATAATTACAAGCTACGGAGAGCATCAAGAAGCTTTTGTGTTAAGCGTTCATTTTATATAAACAGCCAAAGTTAATGACATCTAATCATAACCATTGGAACTTTTATACTCAATGAAGACAGAAAAGAGTAATTAAAAACTGAACTACGAGTTAATATAAGACAGGGATTCTTGCATTCAGCCTTGCAGTTTTCATCAATTAATCTGTCGGCTAACAGATTCAAGCCTTCTCAGCCTCCAAACAAGACGATATCAAAGGGGAAAAGCAACGAAAACACTACCAAGAAGAAGTATAATAGTACTCACGGATTTGGATCTTCTTCCAACGTCGACGTTTTGAGATTGAACTGGTTCCATCTGTGAGGCTTTCGTCGATAATCGGATTCTCAACTTTTCAAACCTCGAACTCCTAGTGAAACAGATCTTCGATTTTGAACCAAAAATCTTACTATCAACTTTCGAATTCAAAAGCCCTAACTCTCTGTTACCAAAATCGGCTCCGGCAATCTTCGCTTGAGATTTTGCAATCACCGAAACCTCCATAATCGGGATGAAATGAAACGGAAAGTTCAAACAAAAATCCACGCGCGAACCGAAGAAATCAGGATCAAGAAAACAGAAATCGATTCCGAAATCTAAAGACGAAAATCGATGAACTATCGAGAAACAAAGATTCTCAAACGGCAAGAAGAAAAATTAAGATAGCTTTAGCGAAAGGTAAAACGGAGCTCTCAAATTGAAGGCCAAATGGGTGGGGAAGCTTTGAATTTATATAAGAAAACGCCACTGAAGGGAAGAAAAATGAAAAAGAGAAAAAGCAAGAAAATGACAATGCCACGTGGCAGAATTTCAGAAGACCAAAGTTATACCGCGGAATTACTTATTTTTTGTTAATTAAAAGAAAAAGAAAAGAATTTTCGTATAAACCACAAGATTAAGACCATTCAATATAATTAATTCGATGGCTTGTGATGACGTGTCAATGATTAATTAATGTGGGACCCAAAGCCAAGTCAGCTTACGGTGTGTTTGCCAGTTGTCTAATTTTTTTTAAACCACTTATTTTAATAACTGAATTATTATGGTTTCTTGATTGGAATTCCCTATTCTAAAATCTTATCCACTTATCCAAACAGACAAAAGCCTCGCCGAAGAAATTACGGAAAAGGGCTTTTGTTTGTTAATACACGTGGCACGCATATAGAGGTCTAGCCTGAGTGCTGAGTCATCGCTCACGTGTACCTTCATTTTATTTTATTTTAATAATTATCGGCTTCCACAGAAATCAGAATCTCGACGCTCTGCTGGTTTGGATGGTAAAACTGATAAAAATTGTCGCCGTCATTAATTGGATGGTGAGCTGCCCTGCCCTGCCCGTAGACGGGGTAGTTGCTGACCGAACTTTTGGTAAAACATTACAGGCAAGTCGTGGAATTTGTCGGCCACGTGTTAAGAAACTAAATCCTTGCTGACTAGGAATGGTCGGCTCTGATCCAACGGCGATTTCGACACGTGGCTCCCTGAACCAACTTTATGGCATACGCGGTTTTACTTTCAACGACCGAGTAAATGAGATTTCCGTAAAAATAATTGAGCAATTTACAGTAAGTTATCAATTTACCGTAAGTTATCAATTTACGTCTATTTAAAATAGTAAAATACCAAAAAAAAAAAAAAAAAAAAAAAAAAAAAAAAAAAAAAAAAAAAAAAAAAAAAAAAAAAAAACAAAAAAAAAA